CCACTGCGCCCGGCCTGTGTTAGTTCTTAAAGCAAAATTGGGAACTTAGTGAAAGAGTTTAATAATTAACAATGATGCTTGTATAAGCATGTCTATGAGCAAGAATAAATGAGAAACTGCTGACTTGCTTCTGGGAAGGTGGTACAAAGGGATGGTGTAGGAAGGAGAGCTTTTCTATGTGGACCTGTCTGTACTTATTACTCTTAATACATTGTAAGTTAAAATTATATTTTACTAACTTAATTTTATTGTCCTGGTTAAAGATGTCTTTAAGGTTCTGTTACTACTTGTTTTTGCCGTCTACCTCTCTTGTTATCTGTTGATACAGTTTTGCCATTGTTAGGACCACTATCCATAGTAGATTTTTTATTTTGTTTTGAGACTTACTTTCTTCCCATTTGCCTGTAAATAATTTCCTAACATAAAAATGGAAAAATGGCATTTGAGTTATTTTATTACTTATTTTTGTGATTAATATTTTCATTGATTTGAAGCATAGTGCATTACCAGGAGATGGGATATGTGTCCACTCTAAAACCTCCACTTATCCAAATTCCTGTTTTTAGCTGAAACTGTCAGACCTTGTCTTAGTTTGTGTTCCCTAAAAGGATAACTTGAGTCGAAGTCTTAGGTGCAGGTTCTTTGTTTGAAAGATTATCCTACAAAGCAGAAATGCATGAAGAGAGTAAGATAAGAAGAGGAGAAAAACCAGTAAAGGAAGTGTTATTATGCTTATTATTGCTGTGGACAGCTGGGGCTCATCCTACTGGGGACCCTCTGAAGAACTGGTTAAAGTGTATCTCCTGCTTATCCTCCTAAAACATTCAGGCTGGGGCATTTATCTACCAACTCTCCCCTTTGATTCAAGGATGCCCACAAGAAACTTTAACTCTTATGCTTCTGAGCTGTTCTTGCTTGTGGTTTGAGCACCCTTTAATGGCTTTGGGAGAAACCCTGAGGAAGAAAGGTAGAGAGGCCCAAAGTGAACACTCGAGGCTGGATACTGGCAACCCTCACAGATTGTGTACTGGAAAATCAGTGGGGCAGTGATGGGAGGTTGGGGAGCAGTAATATGTAAGAGGTGGGCAGAGTATGCATTTAGGCAGGATACTTAGAAGGAATAGAAAGACAAAATGACAAGTAGGAGAGAATAGAAACCCAGGAAGCAAATAGTTTTGGGAACCAGTGAATGGTTTGTTGTGATACTGTGCAGAGGTTCAGAAGATAAGGATAGGAAATCATGTATTTTGTAACATAGATTGCAACTGGGGCTATGGCAAAAGTAGTTTAATGTAGCAGTGGGAGAGGAAGTGTGGATGAAAAGCCATTGGCCAATAAGGATTTGAAACAGTGTAGGCCACTGTTTTAAGAAATTTGGGTGGATCACCTGAGGTCAGGAGTTCGAGACCAGCCTGGTCAACATGGCAAAACCCCATCTCTACTAAAAATAAAAAACTAGAGCTGGGTGTGGTGGCTCATGCCTGTAATCCCAGCACTTTGGGGGGCTGAGGCAGGCAGATTAGCTAAGGTCAGGAGTTCAAGACCAGCCTGGCCAACATGGTAAACCCCGTTTCTACTGAAAATACAATCATTAGCCGGGTGTAGTGGTGGGTGCTTGTAATCCCAGCTACCCGGGAGACTGAGGCAGGAGAATCATTTGAACCTGGAGGTTAGAGCATGCGGTGAGCCAAGATCTGGCCACTGCACTCTAGCCTAGGCTACAGAGTGAGACTCTGTCTCAAAAAAAAAAAAAACAAAAAAACAAAAACAAAAACAAAACAGGCCGAGCACGGTGGCTCACACCTGTAATCCCAGCACTTTGGGAGGCCGAGGCAAGTGGATCACCTGAGGTTGAGAGTTCAAGACCAGCTTGAGCAGCATGGAGAAACGCCATCTCTACTAAAGATACAAAATCAGTGGGGCATGGTGGCTCATGGGTGTAATCCCAGCTACTTGGGAGGCTGAGGCAGAGAATTGCTTGAAACTGGGAGGCAGAGGTTGCGGTGAGCCGAGATCCCACCATTGCACTCCAGCCTGAGCAACAAGAGTGAAACTCTGTCTCAAAAAAAGAAAAGTAACAAAGAGGACACACACACAAAAATTAGCCAGGCTTGGTGGAACGTGCCTGTAAACCCAGCTACTTGGGAGACTGAGGCAGGAGAATCCTTTGAATCTGGGAGGTTGGAGGTTCTGGTGAGCCGAGATCGGGCCACTGCACTCCAGCCTGGGCAACAGAGTGAGATGCTGTCTCAAAAAAAGAAAACAAAAACTAGCCAGGCATGGTGGCGCACGCCTGTAATCCCAGCTAACTCAGGAGGCTGAGGCAGGAGAATCGCTTGAACCCAGGAGGCAGTGGTTGCAGTGAGCCGAGATTGTGCCACTGTACTCCTGCTTGGGCGACAAGAGCGAAACTCCATCTCAAAAAAAAGACATTTGGCCAGCCTAGGCAACATAGGGAGATCTCATCTCTACAGAAAATAAAAAATTTAAAAAAAAATTAACTGGGAATAGTAGCGTGCGCTTGTGGTCCCAGCTGCTCAGGACCTCACGTGAGGTGGGAGGATTGCTTGAGCCTGAGAGATTAAGGGTGCATTGAGCTGTGGTTGTGCCACTGCACTCCAGTCTGGGCAGCAGAGTGAGACCGTGTCTCAAAACAAGAAATTTGGCTAAGAGAAAAAGTGAGAAACAAGGCAGCAGCTAGAAGGAGATGTTGGGGTCAAAAAGGAAGGTTTTTGCACTCCAGTTTGGGCAGCAGAGTGAGACCGTGTCTCAGAACAAGAAATTCGGCTAAAAGGAAAAGTAAGAAACAAGGCAGCAGCTAGAGGGAGATGTTGGGGTAAAAAAGGAGAGGCTTGAGCATATTTGTAGGCTGGGAATAATGACTCATTTACAAAGTCAGTGGAGAGGGAGATGTTTATGATGTAGGAGTAAACAGTAACAATTGCTGGAGCAAGGCTTGGTGGGAGATGAGGACAAGAGTACTAGTGTAGGAGTTTGGTTTTGGGCAGGAGAAAGGAAGTCTTCTAAGTATGCAAATATAGATAAATTTGTAGTCTTGGAGATTGTAGAGAAATTTAGATACTTCTTACTAACAACTTTATTTTTAGTAGAATAGGTGATGCTTTCAGTCACTGAGAAGAAGCTAGTTATTAAATACTTACTAAGTGTTTTTTTTCCCACCATATGGAGGAGGTACATTTGGGTATCAGACAAGAGGAAATAAAGGGCCCAGAATCGTTGTGCTAAGGAATTTGAATTTTATTTTTAGAATATGGAAAGGTATTGAATATTTTGGAGTAGCAGATCTGATGTGATCAGAGTAATATTCTCAGATGTTGCAAGATGTATTGCAATGGAAAAGAAATTAGAGTTGTTAGGAAAATAAGATAGTCTGAGGTTTCTAGGTGCTAGGTTTTAAGTACTTTGCCCTTAACAGGTAATGGAAAGGCAAATATTGTACTTATATTGACAGAGATTTTGAGATAGCCGTTATATTGTATAATAGTACTGGCACTTGGCAACAGGACCTAGTAGGCGAAGGAAAGTGAGAAGGAGCTAGAGATTTCTAGCCAGGGTAGCAATTGGAGCTGTGGTTTTATTGACAGAAACTGGTGAATTAGGAAGGAGAGTGAATTTTGAAAGGGAAAATAATTGTACTTTGGAGGGTCTTTCTTTTGAAGTGTTGGCGAGGACTGTTGTCCTATGTCGGGTCCCCAAGAGCACCAAGATTCTCTAGGAGGACTCACAAAACTCAGCATATAATACTCAGCAAAGGAAAAAGGTACATGGGAGGAAGTCTGGGAAAACCAGGTGCAAGCTTCCAGAATCCTTTCACAGTGGAGTCACATAGTGCCTGCCTAATTCTCCCAGCAACAGGTTGTGACAACATGTGTGAAGTGTTGCCTGTTGAGGAATTCTTTAGAAACTCGGCACCCAGGCTTTTTTATTTTTTATTTTTAAATAGCAACGATGACATGTTTTGATACATGTATACATTGTGGAATAATTATATCAAGCTAATTGGCATGCACATTTTTTTATTGTGAGTAGTCAGGTGGGCACTCACTGCCTATCTTCTACCAGAATTCCAGACTCCTAGAAGGAATGCAGGTGTTCAGCATAACCATATTGTTTGCGTAAATAATTTAGGCACAAGGAACCATTCTTATCAGTTAGGGGCACAGGAACCCTCTTGAAATCTAAGTTCCCAGAAGTTAGCCAGTGGCCAACCTTGCAAGCAGACCTCTAAGGATGTGCAGTCTGAGGCCTGCTATTTTAACCATTCTCCGAATGGTCCATAAGGAGAATGCTCTTAGAGCATAGTAATTCTGGAGTTTTGTCTTCTTGAGGGTTCTGTTTGCCTTTGTAGTAAGCAGTTACTGGTGAGTATTTATTGTTGTGAAGTAGAAGCCTGGGTTTAAATAGTAATAGGACTGAAGAGGCAGTTTCAGCTTTTGAGAAAATTAAGTTCTGGC